ATATCCTCGGGAGGATATCCTCGGGCGGATATCCTCGGGCGGATATCCTCGGGAGGATATCCTCGGGAGGATATCCTCGGGAGGATATCCTCGGATATCCTCGGGAGGATATCCGCGGGAGGATATCCTCGGGAGGATATCCTCGGGAGGATATCCTCGGGAGGATATCCTCGGGAGGATATCCTCGGGAGGATATCCTCGGGAGGATATCCTCGGGAGGATATCCTCGAGAGGATATCCTCGAGCGGATATCCTCGAGCGGATATCCTCGGGCGGATATCCTCGGGAGGATATCATCGGGAGGATATGCTCGGGAGGATATCATCGGGAGGATATGCTCGGGAGGATATCCTCGAGCGGATATCCTCGGGCGGATATCCTCGGGAGGATATCCTCGAGCGGATATCCTCGGGAGGATATCCTCGAGCGGATATCCTCGGGAGGATATCATCGGGAGGATATCCTCGGGAGGATATCATCGGGAGGATATCCTCGGGAGGATATCCTCGAGCGGATATCCTCAGGCGGATATCCTCGGGAGGATATCCTCGGGCGGATATCCTCAGGCGGATATCCTCGGGCGGATATCCTCGGGAGGATATCCTCGGGAGGATATCCTCGAGCGGATATCCTCGGGCGGATATCCTCGGGAGGATATCCTCGGGAGGATATCCTCGGGCGGATATCCTCCCGAGGATATCCTCGAGCGGATATCCTCCCGAGGATATCCTCGAGCGGATATCCTCGGGAGGATATCATCGGGAGGATATCATCGGGAGGATATCCTCGGGAGAATATCCTCGAGCGGATATCCTCGGGCGGATATCCTCGGGAGGATATCCTCGAGCGGATATCCTCGGAGGATATCCTCGGGAGGATATCCTCGGGCGGATATCCTCGGGAGGATATCCTCGGGAGGATATCCTCGAGCGGATATCCTCGGGAGGATATCCTCGGGAGGATATCCTCGGGCGGATATCCTCGGGCGGATATCCTCGGGCGGATATCCTCGGGCGGATATCCTCGGGAGGATATCCTCGGGAGGATATCCTCAGGCGGATATCCTCGGGCGGATATCCTCGGGAGGATATCCTCGGGAGAATATCCTCAGGCGGATATCCTCGGGCGGATATCCTCGGGAGGATATCCTCGGGAGGATATCCTCGAGCGGATATCCTCGGCGGATATCCTCGGGAGGATATCCTCGGGAGGATATCCTCGGGCGGATATCCTCGGGAGGATATCCTCGGGCGGATATCCTCGGGAGGATATCCTCGGGCGGATATCCTCGGGCGGATATCCTCGGGAGGATATCCTCGGGAGGATATCCTCGAGCGGATATCCTCGGGCGGATATCCTCGGGAGGATATCATCGGGAGGATATCCTCGGGAGGATATCATCGGGAGGATATCCTCGGGAGGATATCCTCGAGCGGATATCCTCGGGCGGATATCCTCGGGAGGATATCCTCGGGAGGATATCCTCGGGAGGATATCCTCGGGAGGATATCCTCGGGAGGATATCCTCGGGCGGATATCCTCGGGCGGATATCCTCGGGCGGATATCCTCGGGGGGATATCCTCGGGAGGATATCCTCGGGCAGATATCCTCGGGAGGATATCCTCGGGCGGATATCCTCGGGCGGATATCCTCGGGAGGATATCCTCGGGAGGATATCCTCGGGAGGATATCCGCGGGAGGATATCCTCGGGAGGATATCCGCGGGAGGATATCCTCGGGAGGATATCCGCGGGAGGATATCCTCGGGAGGATATCCGCGGGAGGATATCCTCGGGAGGATATCCGCGGGAGGATATCCTCGGGCGGATATCCGCGGAAGGATATCCTCGGGAGGATATCCTCGAGCGGATATCCTCGGGCGGATATCCTCGGGAGGATATCCTCGGGCGGATATCCTCGGGAGGATATCCTCGGGCGGATATCCTCGGGAGGATATCCTCGGGCGGATATCCTCGGGCGGATATCCTCGGGAGGATATCCTCGGGCGGATATCCTCGGGCGGATATCCTCGGGAGGATATCCTCGGGCGGATATCCTCGGGAGGATATCCTCGGGCGGATATCCTCGGGAGGATATCCTCGGGCGGATATCCTCGGGCGGATATCCTCGGGAGGATATCCTCGGGAGGATATCCTCGAGCGGATATCCTCGGGCGGATATCCGCGGAAGGATATCATCGGGAGGATATCCTCGGGGGGATATCATCGGGAGGATATCCTCGGGAGGATATCCTCGAGCGGATATCCTCGGGCGGATATCCTCGGGAGGATATCCTCGGGAGGATATCCTCGGGAGGATATCCTCGGGAGGATATCCTCGGGAGGATATCCTCGGGAGGATATCCTCGGGCGGATATCCTCGGGCGGATATCCTCGGGCGGATATCCTCGGGGGGATATCCTCGGGAGGATATCCTCGGGCGGATATCCTCGGGAGGATATCCTCGGGAGGATATCCTCGGGAGGATATCCTCGGGCGGATATCCTCGGGAGGATATCCTCGGGCGGATATCCTCGGGAGGATATCCTCGGGCGGATATCCTCGGGCGGATATCCTCGGGAGGATATCCTCGGGAGGATATCCTCGGGAGGATATCCGCGGGAGGATATCCTCGGGAGGATATCCGCGGGAGGATATCCTCGGGAGGATATCCGCGGGAGGATATCCTCGGGAGGATATCCGCGGGAGGATATCCTCGGGAGGATATCCGCGGGAGGATATCCTCGGGCGGATATCCGCGGAAGGATATCCTCGGGAGGATATCCTCGCGCGGATATCCTCGGGCGGATATCCTCGGGCGGATATCCTCGGGAGGATATCCTCGGGAGGATATCCTCGGGCGGATATCCTCGGGCGGATATCCTCGGGCGGATATCCTCGGGAGGATATCCTCGGGAGGATATCCTCGGGAGGATATCCTCGGGCGGATATCCTCGGGCGGATATCCTCGGGAGGATATCCTCGGGAGGATATCATCGGGAGGGTATCCTCGGGAGGATATCCTCGAGCGGATATCCTCGGGCGGATATCCTCGGGAGGATATCCTCGGGAGGATATCCTCTAGCGGATATCCTCGAGCGGATATCCTCGGGAGGATATCCGCGGATATCCTCGGGCGGATATCCTCGGGAGGATATCCTCGGGCGGATATCCTCGGGAGGATATCCTCGGGCGGATATCCTCGGGAGGATATCCTCGGGCGGATATCCTCGGGAGGATATCCTCGGGCGGATATCCTCGGGAGGATATCCTCGGGCGGATATCCTCGGGAGGATATCCTCGGGCGGATATCCTCGGGAGGATATCCTCGGGCGGATATCCTCGGGAGGTTATCCTCGGGCGGATATCCTCGGGAGGATATCCTCGGGAGGATATCCTCGGGAGGATATCCTCGGGCGGATATCCTCGGGAGGATATCCTCTGGAGGATATCCTCGGGAGGATATCCGCGGGAGGATATCCTCGGGAGGATATCCGCGGGAGGATATCCTCGGGAGGATATCCGCGGGAGGATATCCTCGGGAGGATATCCGCGGGAGGATATCCTCGGGAGGATATCCGCGGGAGGATATCCTCGGGAGGATATCCGCGGGAGGATATCCTCGGGCGGATATCCGCGGAAGGATATCCTCGGGAGGATATCCTCGGGCGGATATCCTCGGGCGGATATCCTCGGGCGGATATCCTCGGGAGGATATCCTCGGGAGGATATCCTCGAGCGGATATCCTCGGGCGGATATCCTCGGGCGGATATCCTCGGGAGGATATCCTCGGGCGGATATCCTCGGGCGGATATCCTCGAAAGGATATCCTCGGGCGGATATCCTCGGGCGGATATCCTCGGGAGGATATCCTCGAGCGGATATTCTCGGAGGATATCCTCGGGAGGATATCCTCGAGCGGATATCCTCGGGAGGATATCCTCGGGCGGATATCCTCGGGAGGATATCCTCGGAGGATATCCTCGGGAGGATATCCTCGGGAGGATATCCTCGGGAGGATATCCTCGAGCGGATATCCTCGGGCGGATATCCTCGAGCGGATATCCTCGGGCGGATATCCTCGAGCGGATATCCTCGGAGGATATCCTCGGGAGGATATCCTCGGGCGGATATCCTCGGGAGGATATCCTCGGGAGGATATCCTCGAGCGGATATCCTTGGGAGGATATTCGCGGATATCCTCGGGCGGATATCCTCGGGAGAATATCCTCGGGAGGATATCCTCGGGCGGATATCCTCGAGCGGATATCCTCGTGCGGATATCCTCGGGAGGATATCCTCGGGAGGATATCCTCGGGAGGATATCCTCGGGCGGATATCCTCGGGCGGATATCCTCGCGAGGATATCCTCGGGAGGGTATCCTCGGGAGGATATCCTCGGAGGATATCCTCGGGAGGATATCATCGGGAGGGTATCCTCGGGAGGATATCCTCGAGCGGATATCCTCGGGCGGATATCCTCGGGAGGATATCCTCGGGCGGATATCCTCGGGAGGATATCCTCGGGAGGATATCCTCGGACGGATATCCTCGGGAGGATATCCTCGGGAGGATATCCTCGGTCCTTTTGCGGATATCCGCTCGGATATCCGTCGTTTTGCGGATATCCGCTCGGATATCCGTCGTTTTGCGGATATCCGATCGGATATCCGTCTTATTTGCGGATATCCGCTCGGATATCCGTCGTTTTGCGGATATCCGTTCGAATCCGTCGTTTTGCGGATATCCGTTCGGATATCCGTTCGGATATCCGTCGTTTTGCGGATATCCGTTCGGATATCCGTCGTTTAGCTTATATCCGTTCGGATATCCGTCGTTTTGCGGATATCCGTTCGGATATCCGTCGTTTTGCGGATATCCGTTCGGATATCCGTCGTTTTGCGGATATCCGTTCGGATATCCGTCTTATTTGCGGATATCCGTTCGAATATCCGTCTTATTTGCGGATATGCGTTCGGATATCCGTCGTTTTGCGGATATGCGTTCGGATATCCGTCGTTTTAAGGATATCCGTTCGGATATCTGTCTTTTTGCGGATATCCGTCGTTTTGCAGATATCCGTTCGGATATCCGTCATATTTGCGGATATCCGTTCGAATATCCGTCTTATTTGCGGATATCCGTTCGGATATCCGTCGTTTTGCGGATATCCGTTCGGATATCCGTCGTTTTGCGGATATCCGTTCGGATATCCGTCGTTTTGCGGATATCCGTTCGGATATCCGTCGTTTTGCGGATATCCGTTCGGATATCCGACGTTTTGCGGATATCCGTTCGGATATCCGTCGTTTTAGGATATCCGTTCGGATATCCGTCGTTTTGCGGATATCCGTTCGGATATCCTTCGTTTTGCGGATATCCGTTCGGGCATCCGTCGTTTTGCGGATATCCATATTTCGGATATCCGTTCGGATATCCGTCGTTTTGCGGATATCCATTCGGATATCCGTCGTTTTGCGGATATCCGTTCGGATATCCGTCGTTTTGCGGATATCCGTCCGGATATCCGTCTTATTTAGGATATCCGTTCGGATATCCGTCTTATTCGCGGATATCCGTTCGGATATCCGTCTTATTCGCGGATATCCGTTCGGGCATCCGTCGTTTTACGGATATCCATATTTCGGATATCCGTTCGGATATCCGTCTTATTCGCGGATATCCGTTCGGATATCCGTCTTATTCGCGGATATCCGTTCGGATATCCGTCTTATTCGCGGATATCCGTTCGGATATCCGTCTTATTTAGGATATCCGTTCGGATATCCGTCGTTTTGCGGATATCCGTTCGGATATCCGTCTTATTCGCGGATATCCGTTCGGATATCCGTTCGGATATCCGTCTTATTCGCGGATATCCGTTCGGATATCCGTTCGGGCAGCGGCCCGTTTTGCGGCGGAGGGCCTCCGTTCGGGCAGCGGCCCGTTTTGCGGCGGAGGGCCTCCGTTCGGGCAGCGGCCCGTTTTGCGGCGGAGGGCCTCCGTTCGGGCAGCGGCCCGTTTTGCGGCGGAGGGCCTCCGTTCGGGCAGCGGCCCGTTTTGCGGCGGAGGGCCTCCGTTCGGGCAGCGGCCCGTTTTGCGGCGGAGGGCCTCCGTTCGGGCAGCGGCCCGTTTTGCGGCGGAGGGCCTCCGTTCGGATATCCGTCTTATTCGCGGATATCCGTTCGGATATCCGTCTTATTCGCGGATAGGGCCTCCGTTCGGGCAGCGGCCCGTTTTGCGGCGGAGGGCCTCCGTTCGGGCAGCGGCCCGTTTTGCGGCGGAGGGCCTCCGTTCGGGCAGCGGCCCGTTTTGCGGCGGAGGGCCTCCGTTCGGGCAGCGGCCCGTTTTGCGGCGGAGGGCCTCCGTTCGGGCAGCGGCCCGTTTTGCGGCGGAGGGCCTCCGTTCGGGCAGCCGCCCGTTTTGCGGCGGAGGGCCTCCGTTCGGGCAGCCGCCCGTTTTGCGGCGGAGGGCCTCCGTTCGGGCAGCCGCCCGTTTTGCGGCGGAGGGCCTCCGTTCGGGCAGCCGCCCGTTTTGCGGCGGAGGGCCTCCGTTCGGGCAGCCGCCCGTTTTGCGGCGGAGGGCCTCCGTTCGGGCAGCCGCCCGTTTTGCGGCGGAGGGCCTCCGTTCGGGCAGCCGCCCGTTTTGCGGCGGAGGGCCTCCGTTCGGGCAGCCGCCCGTTTTGCGGCGGAGGGCCTCCGTTCGGGCAGCCGCCCGTTTTGCGGCGGAGGGCCTCCGTTCGGGCAGCCGCCCGTTTTGCGGCGGAGGGCCTCCGTTCGGGCAGCCGCCCGTTTTGCGGCGGAGGGCCTCCGTTCGGGCAGCCGCCCGTTTTGCGGCGGAGGGCCTCCGTTCGGGCAGCCGCCCGTTTTGCGGCGGAGGGCCTCCGTTCGGGCAGCCGCCCGTTTTGCGGCGGAGGGCCTCCGTTCGGGCAGCCGCCCGTTTTGCGGCGGAGGGCCTCCGTTCGGGCAGCCGCCCGTTTTGCGGCGGAGGGCCTCCGTTCGGGCAGCCGCCCGTTTTGCGGCGGAGGGCCTCCGTTCGGGCAGCCGCCCGTTTTGCGGCGGAGGGCCTCCGTTCGGGCAGCCGCCCGTTTTGCGGCGGAGGGCCTCCGTTCGGGCAGCCGCCCGTTTTGCGGCGGAGGGCCTCCGTTCGGGCAGCCGCCCGTTTTGCGGCGGAGGGCCTCCGTTCGGGCAGCCGCCCGTTTTGCGGCGGAGGGCCTCCGTTCGGGCAGCCGCCCGTTTTGCGGCGGAGGGCCTCCGTTCGGGCAGCCGCCCGTTTTGCGGCGGAGGGCCTCCGTTCGGGCAGCCGCCCGTTTTGCGGCGGAGGGCCTCCGTTCGGGCAGCCGCCCGTTTTGCGGCGGAGGGCCTCCGTTCGGGCAGCCGCCCGTTTTGCGGCGGAGGGCCTCCGTTCGGGCAGCCGCCCGTTTTGCGGCGGAGGGCCTCCGTTCGGGCAGCCGCCCGTTTTGCGGCGGAGGGCCTCCGTTCGGGCAGCCGCCCGTTTTGCGGCGGAGGGCCTCCGTTCGGGCAGCCGCCCGTTTTGCGGCGGAGGGCCTCCGTTCGGGCAGCCGCCCGTTTTGCGGCGGAGGGCCTCCGTTCGGGCAGCCGCCCGTTTTGCGGCGGAGGGCCTCCGTTCGGGCAGCCGCCCGTTTTGCGGCGGAGGGCCTCCGTTCGGGCAGCCGCCCGTTTTGCGGCGGAGGGCCTCCGTTCGGGCAGCCGCCCGTTTTGCGGCGGAGGGCCTCCGTTCGGGCAGCCGCCCGTTTTGCGGCGGAGGGCCTCCGTTCGGGCAGCCGCCCGTTTTGCGGCGGAGGGCCTCCGTTCGGGCAGCCGCCCGTTTTGCGGCGGAGGGCCTCCGTTCGGGCAGCCGCCCGTTTTGCGGCGGAGGGCCTCCGTTCGGGCAGCCGCCCGTTTTGCGGCGGAGGGCCTCCGTTCGGGCAGCCGCCCGTTTTGCGGCGGAGGGCCTCCGTTCGGGCAGCCGCCCGTTTTGCGGCGGAGGGCCTCCGTTCGGGCAGCCGCCCGTTTTGCGGCGGAGGGCCTCCGTTCGGGCAGCCGCCCGTTTTGCGGCGGAGGGCCTCCGTTCGGGCAGCCGCCCGTTTTGCGGCGGAGGGCCTCCGTTCGGGCAGCCGCCCGTTTTGCGGCGGAGGGCCTCCGTTCGGGCAGCCGCCCGTTTTGCGGCGGAGGGCCTCCGTTCGGGCAGCCGCCCGTTTTGCGGCGGAGGGCCTCCGTTCGGGCAGCCGCCCGTTTTGCGGCGGAGGGCCTCCGTTCGGGCAGCCGCCCGTTTTGCGGCGGAGGGCCTCCGTTCGGGCAGCCGCCCGTTTTGCGGCGGAGGGCCTCCGTTCGGGCAGCCGCCCGTTTTGCGGCGGAGGGCCTCCGTTCGGGCAGCCGCCCGTTTTGCGGCGGAGGGCCTCCGTTCGGGCAGCCGCCCGTTTTGCGGCGGAGGGCCTCCGTTCGGGCAGCCGCCCGTTTTGCGGCGGAGGGCCTCCGTTCGGGCAGCCGCCCGTTTTGCGGCGGAGGGCCTCCGTTCGGGCAGCCGCCCGTTTTGCGGCGGAGGGCCTCCGTTCGGGCAGCCGCCCGTTTTGCGGCGGAGGGCCTCCGTTCGGGCAGCCGCCCGTTTTGCGGCGGAGGGCCTCCGTTCGGGCAGCCGCCCGTTTTGCGGCGGAGGGCCTCCGTTCGGGCAGCCGCCCGTTTTGCGGCGGAGGGCCTCCGTTCGGGCAGCCGCCCGTTTTGCGGCGGAGGGCCTCCGTTCGGGCAGCCGCCCGTTTTGCGGCGGAGGGCCTCCGTTCGGGCAGCCGCCCGTTTTGCGGCGGAGGGCCTCCGTTCGGGCAGCCGCCCGTTTTGCGGATATCCGTCGGTTTCCGGATATCCGTTCGGATATCCGTCGGTTTGCGGATATCCGTTCGGATATCAGTCTTATTTAGGATATCCGTTCGGATATCCGTCTTATTTAGGATATCCGTTCGGATATCAGTCTTATTTAGGATATCCGTTCGGATATCCGTCGGTTTGCGGATATCCGTTCGGGCATCCGTCGTTTTGCGGATATCCGTTCGGGCATCCGTCGTTTTGCGGATATCCGTTCGGGCATCCGTCGTTTTGCGGATATCCCTATTTCGGATATCCGTTCGGATATCCGTCGTTTTCCGGATATCCGATCGGATATCCGTCTTATTCGCGGATATCCGTTCGGATATCCGTCTTATTCGCGGATATCCGTTCGGATATCCGTCTTATTCGCGGATATCCGTTCGGATATCCGTCTTATTCGCGGATATCCGTTCGGATATCCGTCTTATTCGCGGATATCCGTTCGGATATCCGTTCGGATATCCGTCTTATTCGCGATATCCGTTCGGATATCCGTCATATTCGCGGATTTCCGTTCGGATATCCGTCTTATTCGCGGATATCCGTTCGGATATCCGTCTTATTCGCGGATTTCCGTTCGGATATCCGTCTTATTCGCGGATATCCGTTCGGATATCCGTCTTATTCGCGGATATCCGTTCGGATATCCGTCTTATTCGCGGATATCCGTCGTTTTGCGGATATCCGTTCGGATATCCGTCGTTTTGCGGATATCCGTTCGGATATCCGTCGTTTTGCGGATATCCGTTCGGATATCCGTCGTTTTGCGGATATCCGTTCGGATATCCGTCGTTTTGCGGATATCCATATTTCGGATATTTGTTCGGATATCAGTCGTTTTCCGGATATCCGTCGTTTTGCGGATATCCGTTCGGATTTCCGTCGTTTTGCGGATATCCGTTTGGATATCCGTCGTTTTGCGGATATCCGTCGTTTTTAGGATATCCGTTCGGATATCCGTCGTTTTGCGGATATTCGTTCGGATATCCGGCGTTTTGCGGATATCTGTTCGGATATCCGTCGTTTTACGGATATCCGTTCGGGCATCCGTCGTTTTGCGGATATCCATATTTCGGATATCCGTTCGGATATCCGTCGTTTTGCGGATATCCGTTCGGATATCTGTCGATTTGCGGATATCCGTTCGTACATCCGTCGTTTTCCGGGTATCCGTCTTATTTGCGGATATCCGTTCGGATATCCGTCTTATTTGCGGATATCCGTTCGGATATCCGTCTTATTTGCGGATATCCGTTCGGATATCCGTCTTATTTGCGGATATGCGTTCGGATATCTGCCGTTTTGCGGATATCCGTTCGGATATCCGCCGTTTTGCGGATATCCGTTCGGGCATCCGTCGTTTTGCGGATATCCATATTTCGGATATCCGTTCGGATATCCGTCGTTTTGCGGATATCCGTCGATTTGCGGATATCCGTTCGGATATTTGTCGTTTTCCGGATATCCGTTCGGATATCCGTCGTTTTCCGGATATCCGTTCGGATGTCCGTCTTATTTGCGGATATCCGTTCGGATGTCCGTCTTATTTGCGGATATCCGTTCGGATGTCCGTCTTATTTGCGGATATCCGTTCGGATGTCCGTCTTATTTGCGGAAATCCGTTCGGATGTCCGTCTTATTTGCGGATATCCGTTCGGATGTCTGTCGTTTTGCGGATTTCCGTTCGGATGTCCGTCGATTTGCGGATATCCGTTCGGATGTCCGTCGATTTCCGGATATCCGTTCGGATGTCCGTCGATTTCCGGATATCCGTTCGGATGTCCGTCTTATTTGCGGATATCCGCTCGGATGTCCGTCTTATTTGCGGATATCCGCTCGGATGTCCGTCTTATTTGCGGATATCTGCTCGGATGTCCGTCTTATTTGCGGATATCCGCTCGGATGTCCGTCGTTTTTGCGGATATCCGCTCGGATGTCCGTCTTATTTGCGGATATCCGCTCGGATTCCGTCGTTTTGCGGATATCCGTTCGGATGTCCGTCGTTTTGCGGATATCCGTTCGGATGTCCGTCGTTTTCGGATATCCGTTCGGATCTCCGTCTTATTTGCGGATATCCGTTCGGATATCCGTCTTATTTAGGATATCCGTTCGGATCTCCGTCTTATTTGCGGATATCCGTTCGGATGTCCGTCGTTTTTGCGGATATCCGTTCGGATGTCCGTCGTTTTTGCGGATATCCGTTCGGATGTCCGTCGTTTTTGCGGATATCCGTTCGGATGTCCGTCGTTTTTGCCGAAATCCGTTCGGATGTCCGTCTTATTTGCCGAAATCCGTTCGGATGTCCGTCGTTTTGCGGATATCCGTTCGGATATCCGTCGTTTTGCGGATATCCGTTCGGATATCCGTCGTTTTGCGGATATCCGTCTTATTTAGGATATCCGTTCGGATATCCGTCGTTTTGCGGATATCCGTTCGGATATCCGTCTTATTTAGGATATCCGTTCGGATATCCGTCGTTTTGCGAATATCTGTTCGGATATCCGTCGTATTACGGATATCCGATCGGGCATCCGTCGTTTTGCGGATATCCATATTTCGGATATCCGTTCGGATATCCGTCGTTTTGCGGATATCCGTTCGGATATCCATCGATTTGCGGATATCCGTTCGGATATCCGTCGTTTTGCGGATATCCGTTCGGATATCCGTCTTATTTGCGGATATCCGTTCCGATATCCGTCTTATTTGCGGATATCCGTTCGGATATCCGTCTTATTTGCGGATATCCGTTCGGATATCCGTCTTATTTGCGGATATCCGTTCGGATATCCGTCGTATTTGCGGATATCCGTTCGGATATCCGTCGTATTTGCGGATATCCGTTCGGATATCCGCCGTTTTGCGGATATCCGTCGTTTTGCGGATATCCGTCGTTTTGCGGATATCCGTTCGGATATCCGTCGTTTTGCGAATATCCGTTCGGATATCCGTCGTTTTGCGGATATCCGTTCGGGCATCCGTCGTTTTGCGGATATCCATATTTCGGATATCCGTCGTTTTGCGGATATCCGTCGATTTGCGGATATCGGTTCGGATATCTGTCGTTTTCCGGATATCCGTTCGGATGTCCGTCGTTTTCCGGATATCCGTTCGGATGTCCGTCGTTTTCCGGATATCCGTTCGGATGTCCGTCTTATTTGCGGATATCCGTTCGGATGTCCGTCTTATTTGCGGATATCCGTTCGGATGTCCGTCTTATTTGCGGATATCCGTTCGGATGTCCGTCGTTTTGCGGATATCCGTTCGGATGTCCGTCGTTTTGCGGATATCCGTTCGGATGTCCGTCGTTTTGCGGATATCCGTTCGGATGTCCGTCGATTTGCGGATATCCGTTCGGATGTCCGTCTTATTTGCGGATATCCGTTCGGATGTCCGTCTTATTTGCGGATATCCGTTCGGATGTCCGTCGTATTTGCGGATATCCGTTCGGATGTCCGTCGTATTTGCGGATATCCGTTCGGATGTCCGTCGTATTTGCGGATATCCGTTCGGATGTCCGTCGTTTTGCGGATATCCGTTCGGATATCCGTCGTTTTGCGGATATCCGTTCGGATATCCGTCTTATTTAGGATATCCGTTCGGATATCCGTCGTTTTGCGAATATCTGTTCGGATATCCGTCGTTTTACGGATATCCGATCGGGCATCCGTCGTTTTGCGGATATCCATATTTCGGATATCCGTTCGGATATCCGTCGTTTTGCGGATATCCGTTCGGATATCCATCGATTTGCGGATATCCGTTCGGATATCCGTCTTATTTGCGGATATCCGTTCGGATATCCGTCTTATTTGCGGATATCCGTTCGGATATCCGTCTTATTTGCGGATATCCGTTCGGATATCCGTCTTATTTGCGGATATCCGTTCGGATATCCGTCTTATTTGCGGATATCCGTTCGGATATCCGTCGTATTTGCGGATATCCGTTCGGATATCCGTCGTATTTGCGGATATCCGTTCGGATATCCGCCGTTTTGCGGATATCCGTCGTTTTGCGGATATCCGTTCGGATATCCGTCGTTTTGCGGATATCCGTTCGGATATCCGTCGTTTTGCGGATATCCGTTCGGATATCCGTCGTTTTGCGGATATCCGTTCGGGCATCCGTCGTTTTGCGGATATCCATATTTCGGATATCCGTCGTTTTGCGGATATCCGTCTTATTTGCGGATATCCGTTCGGATGTCCGTCGTTTTTGCCGAAATCCGTTCGGATGTCCGTCTTATTTGCCGAAATCCGTTCGGATGTCCGTCGTTTTGCGGATATCCGTTCGGATATCCGTCGTTTTGCGGATATCCGTTCGGATATCCGTCGTTTTGCGGATATCCGTCTTATTTAGGATATCCGTTCGGATATCCGTCGTTTTGCGGATATCCGTTCGGATATCCGTCTTATTTAGGATATCCGTTCGGATATCCGTCGTTTTGCGAATATCTGTTCGGATATCCGTCGTATTACGGATATCCGATCGGGCATCCGTCGTTTTGCGGATATCCATATTTCGGATATCCGTTCGGATATCCGTCGTTTTGCGGATATCCGTTCGGATATCCATCGATTTGCGGATATCCGTTCGGATATCCGTCGTTTTGCGGATATCCGTTCGGATATCCGTCTTATTTGCGGATATCCGTTCCGATATCCGTCTTATTTGCGGATATCCGTTCGGATATCCGTCTTATTTGCGGATATCCGTTCGGATATCCGTCTTATTTGCGGATATCCGTTCGGATATCCGTCGTATTTGCGGATATCCGTTCGGATATCCGTCGTATTTGCGGATATCCGTTCGGATATCCGCCGTTTTGCGGATATCCGTCGTTTTGCGGATATCCGTCGTTTTGCGGATATCCGTTCGGATATCCGTCGTTTTGCGAATATCCGTTCGGATATCCGTCGTTTTGCGGATATCCGTTCGGGCATCCGTCGTTTTGCGGATATCCATATTTCGGATATCCGTCGTTTTGCGGATATCCGTCGATTTGCGGATATCGGTTCGGATATCTGTCGTTTTCCGGATATCCGTTCGG